TGATTTTGTGTTTCAAACTTTATCATACCTGGGATGCCTACTAGACTGTTGTTTGGACAGATTTAAGTGAGTAATTCCTAAGAATTACAGGCCTACAATACAAAACAACAAATTTCCATGCAAAACAATGTACCGCTTTGGGTACAAAATTACTGACATAATCAGACCGCCAGGGAGGTTAAGAGTACATACAGTTCAGTGGCATTAAATAGTTATAGAAATTGTTTGGGTTTAGGGCTAAGCATATTCATATTGTGTGACCATCACCACCATCCATCTCCAGAACTTTTTGATTTTTCCCAGACTGAAACTCTGTCCCCATTAAACAATAATTCCCCATCTCCTCATCCCCTCAGCCCCTTGTTACCACTATTCTAATTCCTGTCTCTATGAATTTGATTGCTCTAGGTACCTCATATAAATGGAATCTTACATAAAGTGTTTGTCCTTTTGTGACTGGCTTATTTTCCTTAGAATAATGTCCTCAAAGTTCATCCAAGTTGTAGTGTGTGTCAGAATTTCACTCCCGTTTAAGCCTCAAGAATATTGTGTTACTGTAGGTATAGACTGCGTTTTGTTTATTGCATTTATTTGTGGTATCCCTGTTTTCAATTCTTTTGGCCATATACCTAAAAGTGGAATTGCTGCATCATGTTGTAGTTCTTTAATTTTTGGAGAAACTGCCAAACTATTTCCACATCACCTGCACCATTTTACATTCCCGCCAGCAATGCACAAAGGTTCCAGTTTTTCCACATCATCACCAATACTTGTTAAAGTTTTTTTTTTAATAATAGCCATCCAATGAGTGAGACGGTATCTCATTGTAGTTTTGATTTACACTTCTTCAATGATTAGTGATGTTAAGCATCTTTTCAAGTGCTATTGGTCATATATATATATATATATTTTTTTCTTTTAATTTATTTTAGAAATAGGTATTCAAGTCCTTTGTCAATTTTTTAATGGGTTGTTTTTTTGTCATTGGGTTTTCAGAGTTTTCTATGTATGCTGGATATTACCCCTTTATCAGGTATATGATTTGCAAATACCGGGGGTGCCAAAAAAATGTATACACATGACTTGTATTCATCTTTTGTTATCGGTATATATTATTACAATTTTAATATTTTTTTCCCTTTCTTAAAACATGTATACATTTTTTTGGCACCCTGTGTATTTTCTTGCATTCTGTGGGTTGTTTTTTTACTCTGTTGATAGTCTCCTTTGATGCGCAAAAGTTTTTTGTTTTTTGATGAAGTCCAACTTATCTATTTTTTCTTTCGTTGCTGGTGCTTGTGGTGTTATAGCTAAGTAATCACTGCCAAATCAGCATCATGAAGATTTTCCCGTACGTTTTCCTCTAAGAATTTTATAGTTTTAGCTTTTACATCAAGGTCTTTGATCTAGTCTGAGCCAATATTTGTATGGTGTAAGGTAAGGAAGAGTCCAACTTCATTCTTTTGCATGTGGATATCCAGTATTCCCAATGGTCAACAATGTGATCATTGTTAAAAAGTCTATCCTCTCCGCCATTGAATGGTCTTGGCACTGTTGTTGAAAACCATTTGACAATATATGTGAGGGCTTATTTCTGGCTTTCTATTCCATTCCATTGGTATATGTGTCTGTCTTTATGTCAGTACCATATACTGTTTTTATTACCATAGCTTTGTATTCAGTTTTGAAATCAGGAAGTATGAGTCTCTCAGCTTCTTTCTTTTTCAAGATTGTCTTGACTATTCAGGGTCCCTTGGGATTCTATATGAATTTTAGGATGGATTTTTCTATCTCTGCAAAAAATGTCATTGGGATTTTGATAGGGATTGCACTGAATCTGTAAATTGCTTAGGGTAGTATTGACATCTTAACAATATTAAGTTTTCCAATGTATGAACACAGGTTGTCTTTCCATTTATTTATATCTTACTTTAATTTCTTTTAGCAATGTTTTATAGTTTTCATTGTACAAGTGTTTTACTTCCTTGGTTAAGTTAATTCCAAAGTATTTTATTCTTTTTGATGCTATTGTAAGTAGAATTGTTTTCTTAATTTCCTTTTTGGATTGTTTATTGTTAGTGTATAAAAATGCAACTGATTTTTGTGTGTTGACTTTGTATCTTGCTGCTTTGCAGAATTCATTAGTTCTAATAATTTTTGAGTGTGGAATATTTGGAGTTTTCTACATGTAAGATTATGTCATCTACAAACAGATAATTTTGCTTCTTCCTTTCAAATTTGGGTACTTTTTATTTTTCTTGCCTAATTGCTCTGGTTAGAACTTCCAATACCATGTTGAACAGAAGTGGAACAAGTGGGCTTGAGTTTTTTACCATTGAGTATGTATGATATTAGCTGTGGGTTTTTCCTTCTGCTACTGATTTCTAGTTTCATTCCAATTGTGATAAAAAAAACATTTCCACTTTTTCAAAATTTTTTTAAAAAAGATTTTATTGGGGAATTGGGGGAGGGGAACAGCGCTGGGGAATCGGGGAAGGGGAACAGACAAGTTGCTGTCCTTTTGTTCTTCAGTCTAGTTGTGGAGGACGACGCTTCACTGGCCCATGTTGGTATTATCATTGCGCTCTTCCCGGGTGAGGCAGTCCCTCGCCGGCCATTGGATGGCTGCTCACGGCAGCTCACGAAAGCGCATGCCAGCTGCCGGCCAGCCCCACTGCAGCCCCACTGCAGCCTATGCTGTCACCAGCGACTCAAGGCAGCCCAGCTCCAGGTTGAGCTGTTGTTCACCATCTTAGCTATAGAGGGCGCAGTGTCACTGGTCCTCATGTGGGATCTGAACCGGAGCCCTGCTGCTCAGAGCTGGCGTCCCAAGCCAACCCCTAACCAACACGCCACTCGGCCGGCCCGTCCACCTTTTCAAATTTATTAAGACTTGTTTTGTGACTTAACATATGATTCAATCCTGGAGAATGCCTTTTTTCCTGCTGGGCACACTGTAGTTTGGCCGCACTCCTCCCTCATTGCCCCAGATTTTAGCAATAAGCCATGGGCTGGCAGGAATGCTGCCTGCAGAACTGAAGAACCCCTGGAGAGCTACAAACCCAGCCACCTCCCATCTTAGAGGTGAGAAAACTGAGGCTCAGAGGGGTCAGGGACTTCATCCAGAAGCACAGGGGCCCATGGGTCACATGCCCATACAATGAATGATCACAACTTCTCTCCTATGGCATCAGCAATGATCACACAGAAACAAAAACTTCCACCCAGTTTCATTCAACAAATGTTTGCTGAGCATCTATAAACTCCAGGCATGAGTTACACCTTCAAATGACTCCATCTCTGTAGGGCCTATCTACTCTAAGATGGGCCTGACCGTTTTGTTTCCAGGCAGTGAGAGGAGTGGATCATCAAATAGTTTCTGGTGCATTAGTGTCTATTTCATAAGTGCACCAAGTTATCTCCTAAGCTGGCCTCTGTTTTAGGCTGACTACATGCTCGTTTTAGAAGCCACAGGCACAAAAGTTTTGGAGACTGAAGTCCCAGGCACAAAAGCTCACGCTGTCTGCAGGGCTGGATTCCATTAAAAAGTAAGATGCAAAGAGGGCCGTTAGATGAGGTGAAAACCCTGAAGCTCAGAGAGGTGAAGGGAGTTAACACAGAGCTATGGCCAGGCAGCTCCATCGGGCCTTCTCACCCCAGGTGGCTGTCTAGGAGCACCTCAGCCCGGACATGGGGTTGTTCATGCAATTCAGCTGCTGGGACAGGGAAGACATGAGGCTGCCTTCTCTGACTGGGAACAGTAAGGGTGTACCTAGAGGACTCCACCCTCGCTTCCAATAGGACACTCAGCTCGGCTGCAGAGGTTTGAGCCTTCACAGATTGGATTTCTGCTGTGTGGTGCAAGAAACAGAGCCCACACAGGCACATCCCTGACAACTGCCAAGGGGGTTCCCTCACCCATCTACTCTCCTGGGACATAAAGCAGGGGAGGGGATATGGTCCCTCTTTACAGATGTGGAAACCAAGTTGCAGAGAGGTGAGTCACCTGCTATGTCAGTCAGGCAGTCAGGGCTTAGCCAGAGAAGCACAATCAGTCAGGGATAAAGCCCCAAATCCATAGATAGATAGGGTAGGCCACCAGGAAGGAAAAACAAGCTGGGACTCTCAGGCCCAGGCTGATGGCCTGTCCTGCATGTAAGTCTCTAATGCCACCTCATACCATGGACTGCCATTGACCTCTTTACTACTGGAAATAGAGTCATTAGTGCCTTCGAATCCAATCGAATTAGAGAAGAATTCCAGAAAACAGAAAACCAATGCAGAAAACTCATCCTTAAGATTCTATTCCTCCAGGACCACTTCTGCTAAGCAGAATCTGTTATCAGTCAGGGTCTAATCAGAGAAGCAGAAAGCAGGATATATATTATGGGATTTATTGCAAGGAATTGACTTAAATGATTATGGGGGCTAGGAGAGACAAGTCTGAACTCTGTAGGGCAGGCTGCCAGAAAGAGCAAACTGGAACTCTCAGGCACGGACTGAGGCTACTGTGCACAAGCAGAATCCCCTCTTTGTCTCAGAAGACTCAGCTCTGCTTGGAGGGCCCTTTGGCTGATTGAATCAGGCCGGGCGGGGGGGGGGGGGGGGGGAGAGGGGGCGAGGGAGGTGGAGAGGGGGAGTATCTAGGATAATCTCACTGGCTTAGTTAACTGGTTATAGACTTTAATGACATCTACAAAATACCTTCACAGCAACACCCAGATTAGTGTCTGATGGAATAACTGGAGGCTGCAGCCTAGCCCAGTTGGCACATCTGATGACCATCCCCCCTGCTCTCCAGTGATTCTGCAGCATCCTCAACCTCTCCCACTAGTGCACACACTTCCACGCTTACCCTCAAGTTGCTGACAGTTTAACTTCAACCTGCATAATCAGTGCCTGGGATTTTTAAAAATGGAGGTAAAATCCACATAATATAAAATTAACCATTTTGAAGTATACAATTCAGTGGCATTTAATACACTCACAATTTGTGTAACCATCACCTCTGTCGAGTCCCAAAACATTTTCATCACCTCAGAAGAAAACCTCCTACCTATTAAGCAGTCACTCCTCACTCCACCCTCACCGTCTGGATATTTAAAAACCAATCTGGGCAGCAACGTTATCAGGGAATCATTAAGGAGAACTTGGACATGTAAAGCCTGTCCCATCTGCTGATCGGCTGGGGGCAAAGGTGCCTTCCGTGGTGGGCAGGAGCTAACAGCCAGCTACTCCTTCACAATATCGGGGCTATAGTTGCGCTTGACAGCTTCGGCAAGCTCCCGTGCATACATCTCATATCTGCCTGTCATCTGAAAGCAAAACAGGTGCACGTTAGAGGTTCCTCATTTATAAACGCCCCTCATTTACTCACCACCACCCCTTTCCACTAGGGGGCAGCCACGGGACAGAAATGAGTCTGGAAGGCTGGTTGGCAGGACAATTTCAGACTGTAATACAGAGAAACAACCAGGGGGGACTTCTTGGCACTGATTCCAGGGCTGTGGTGAAGATCACGGATGCCCAGATCACTCACACAACCCGGCCCCTCCTGCTGGAAGACCTCTGTGATTTGTTCATCCAGAAGGTGTGGCCTGTCCTGAGGCAGGACAGAGGACTTTCCTGGGGTCCCGCAGAACCCAGAAGAGTAGCCTACAGCTCCGAGGGGAGTGACCAGCTCCAGGTCACGAGCCAGCAGTGGAATGGTAGGGATTTGCACCGTGGTCTCCTGGCTCTGGGTATGGTGGTCCACGCGGCACCTTGTCATGGACACAGACGGTGACTGGGGGGGGGGGAGGGGAAGGCCTGGAAAGCCCACTCAGGATGCTGACACCCCAGCATTCCCTTGCACCCTCCTTCCCAAAGCTTTAACAGGAGCTCATGCCCATCACCACAGCTTGGAAAGGCTTCTGTTTTCAACAAGTTACTAATGAGAAAACACTCTGTTTATTAGTTCCAACTTGTAATTTGCATGGATTCCTGCATTAATCTGGACTTCCCAGAAGAGGAGAGACAGGCCAGGAGACTTTCCCATGGGCAACGCCTTGTTTGTCTGATGAGGATCTGAGGCTCAGGGAAAGTTCCCAAGAACACACACTCAGGTACATGGGAAGCCCGGCCCAGAGCCCTCGTCTGGCTGGATCCGAAATCCTAGTTCCTCGCAGACATGCTGGGCAAAGTCATTCAGTTGTGACAATGTGACATTCATCTGCATGTATGATTTGCTTATAAGTGGGTGCTGAGTTGGTGGAATTATTGCCCGACACTAATATAGCAAACTCCGTTTGCATCCATGATGAAATGCCATATTCTATGGCCATGGCTGCCACCGCCCCATACCAGGAGGGCAGGCACCTACGCTCCTCTCATGACTCCCGGTGTTACAGGTGTTAGGTCTCAAATGCTGCTTGGAACATTTGAGTTAAGCCTCTTGTTTTACAAATGGGAGCATTAAGGCCCAGGAGCAGAAAAGGCTTGCTTAAGGTGAGCAAACTAGGAGGTGGCAGAGCCAGGCCTAGGTTCCATTTCTCGGCGTGACCCATTTCCCTCTACTGTCCAGGCCTAGACCGTGGGGCCTGGCCCCAGGCAGCCAGACACACACACACACACACATTAATCTTGTGATAAGTGCAAATGCCTGGAAAGGAAAAAAGGGTTAGAGAAGCCAATTCACTCTATTCTCCAGACAAATGAAATTGAGATTAATTTGTTTGAAGGCGCCCAGAATCTAAATCAGATGAGAGGAGAATTTATTGAGGCCTGCTGCCTGGGCGTCATTTCACCCAAGGTTCCTCCCCTGCACACCAGCACTGGCTGGAGCCTGCAGGGAGGCAGAGACGCAGCCCTCTGCTCAACTCGGAGCCTCACATGGACTGTCTCAGAAGGCGAACCCAGCAGTTGGGGTTCCAAGCCCTGAGAACAGGATTGGGGCCCAACCGGAGGAGCAGGGCAACAGCAGGGGACTCAGGGGCCCACCTTGAAGTTCCACATGTCATTCATCTGCCGGCAGAGGTTGAGGTTGAGCTCGGCAACCAGCAGCCCGTCCCGGTTTCGGGAGAGCCCCGGAGTGCGGCTACCATCAGGGGCTGCCACGTAGCTCGAGCCATAAAAGTAGCCGAAGTTCTGGTGAGCTTTAAAAGAGCAAAGGAGAACACCATGAGCGTTGCAGGCACACAGTGGACTCTGCGGGGAGGCAGGCACACCGAGGGACGCCCAGGGCAAATGGTTCGCACCACCCACCCAGAGTCTGCCAAATGCTGCAGCCCCAAGGACCCACTTCCCTCCTCAGGCCTGAAGGCCCAGACAATTGCTATCAAAGTCACCCTCACGCCCTCACCTCTACCTCTGGGAACGTTTCTTGCAGAGGTGTTGGTGCTTTGCTCCCAACATCAGTCCCCACAGCCCAAGGGAATTACATGGCTCCACAGGACTTTCTGTGTGACCTGCTTCCTGTGGTGGCCCCACACGTTGAGCTGTAGGCTCTGTCCTCACTTGCTTTGCCAGCTGTGTCACCTGTACCCTCACTCTACAGCTTGGTTCCCTCACCAGTAAAGTGGCACAGTGCAGGGCCAAGCAGGGGCTCAGGCATAGCAGGTGCCTCATTTCCCTGCCTCTTCCACACCTCTGTCTACAGGGAGCTAACTAGGATTAGAGACTCTGGAAGTCTTGGGCCTAAAGTGGCGGGGGGGGGGGATCTGGGACCCTTTCAGGAGGTGCTTTTCTAGAAAACAGACCCAGGGGATACCCTGAGCTAGTTCAGACCCTTCCTTGGTGAGGGAGGCATCCCTTCCCTCCCACATTCCTGGCCAGAGAGGTGGGACCAGGAGGGTTTCCTAGCAGAGGTGAGGTGGTACCTATCCTCAGATCAAAATAATCTGTGGCTTCCGGGATCCCAAAGCAATTGATGCCAGTGTTCTGGGGCAATTGTACAGCTGAGGATAGGGACAGACAAGGACAAGGGATAGGAGGAAGGGAGGTCTATAGGGTGCATGAAGCACCCCATCTTTCAGGGAGCTCATAAAGGCCTCCCCCACATTTTCTCCATCCATCTTCACACCAGTCCTGAGGGAGAGATGCAGTCCAGTGCAAGCCCATTGGACGCTTATCTGGGTAACGAGGTGGTCACAAGCCCAGGACTGCCTATCCATATTGTGGGCAAAGTCGGGCTCCTATGCTGTGGGTAAGAGTCTAGAGGAATCCACTCCTCGGACGTGCCAGGTGCGCAGACAAGGTCTGTGGGGCAGACCCGGCCCGGAGGCAGATGGAGAAGGGGACAGTGAGGCCCACCAAGAAAATTCATGGAACTTACCTTTCTTCCCATCTCCAGAGGTAAACTCATTCGGGAAGTATTCCTGTGAAAGAAAACCAAGGTGAGATACACCTATAGGTGGCACTACCGCTACGTTCATCCCAAAGTCAGGTTGAGGCAGAGTTAGTTAAGCAACAGTTAAACTGAGATGGGATGGCCGGTCCTCACTGGGCAATCAACAAGTACTTATTAAATGTCCCTGCTGAGTCCCCAGCACTGGGTGAAAAATGCCGGCCAGGCAGCCAGCGGGGAATTTGACAAGCAAGGTAAAGACCTGGATTTTGCCTTTGGGGAGATCATAATCTGCCGGGAGAAAAGAAAGGCATCGCAGAGAGGTTTGCAGGGCCGTGAAAGCGGCTGGGCTTTGCCTGCTGAGTAACAAAGCCCCAGCTTGGGGTCTGTGAAGGCAGTAAGGGGTTGTCTACACACTGTTTTCCATGTTTTCCCCAAAGACTAATGGAAACTGCACCTCAAGCTGTGATGGGGTTACACAGGCTAATTAGAACACGAACTTTCTTTAGGTTTCCAGAAATTAGACCAATTTAGTATAGAAACCTTGGTTGTCTCAGACTGATCAGATGCTCTGATTAGAGTTTGATATCTGATAAGAATGGGAAAGATTATTACGTATTAAATGCCTTGGTAGTCAGAATCGTTTAGTGCACGGGGTCAATGGGGCAAAATACGAAACCGGATACTTGGTGGTGATAGGGTGAGAGCCTTTCAAAAACGGTTTCAGCTGAAAACAAAAACAGACAAAAATAGAGGAGGGACATAATGATATCTTTAAAAGTAACAAAGCGAGGCAGTTTCCTCCCTTCTGGGACCCTAGGATTTGTGGCATGCACAAAGAGAGGGAACAGGAAGAGGTGTGACATGTGCCCCCTCCCAGGGCCAGCAGACCGCAGCTCCTTTGCCTGTGGCCTTCACTGGATTGAAGAGGCTGGGACCCCTCTGGCAGGCCGGCTTCACAGCAGCCTATCACTCTGTTCCCTCCTCAGTACACCCGGTTGACCAGCCGAGGGGCCTGGCCAGGCTCCAGGGACTTACCTCGCCCACACGATTGATGGCACAGGTGAAGCAGTGATTGGCAATGGCTGCGTTCCTGGCCTCGATTGGCCACATGGACTCGCTGTGAGAGAAGATCGAGAGGAAGCAGGTCACCGACTTCCCAGCCAGACTCGATGGGTGGCTGGCCCCGAGCAGCAGCCTGGCTGCCAGCCTTCCAGGCCTTTTGTGGGGATGGCCAGGGAGGCTCTTTGTGCCCGTGGGTGTCCCTTATCCTGCAAGCAGGCCAGCTTGTTCTCAGCTGGTCCCATGCTCAAGCCCAAGGAGCCTTTTCGAAGGGGCCCGCTGCAGGCAGAAGGAGCCCTGGATCAAATCTTTGCCCTGAGCCTCAGTTTCCTTTTCTGAAACTCCCTTGAAGGGAGATGAAGACTGATTATGGGAGATTAAGGGAGTATGACCATGCAGGTGAAGCTTCTAGGGAGGGCTGCATGTCAGGAGCTTCTTAACTGCTACTTCTCATTCCTTCCTTCCTCCTGGGTGGCTGAGGAACCTGCGTTCCAGGCCAGGCAGAGCCTTACCTGGAAAATGTCAGAAGGGAGTTGGGGGCCTGGAGGCCTGTGCATGGCCCTGTGAAGGTTCTGCCTGCCCCAACCCTACCCTGCTGTGTTGTCTTGTAAAGCAGTCTCCACAGGGGGAGGTTTCAGGCCAAGCCAACAGAGTAAATCTGAAGAAATTTAGGTAGTGGTGTGTGTGTGTGTGTGCGCGCGCGCGCGCGGGGTGGGTGGGGGGTTTTGATTCTGTAGCAAGAGTTACCTCTCTTGAGCTGGTCCCCATTTCCCAGTTTCTTCTTCTGAACCCCGAGTCTCTAAGCAGGGGCTCTGGTTCCCTTAGTGGCCCAGGAAGGAGGCAGCCTCCAGGCACAGCTGAGCTGCGGGCTTTCCTCAGTCCAGCACCCACACGGGGGAGGACGTGGTGGGAGACCTGGCCCCAACCAGAGACTCTGTCCTTCTCCAGCCCACCAACTAAAATGTGCCGTGGAATTCAGTGGGCCTTCTGGTCGCTAATTATCTCTCGTCTGAGGAACAACATCATTAAGATTCTGGATTGATAGGCATAATGCCCACTTAGAAACACTGAGTGACTAGGAGCAAAAAGCCCTGGAATCTTCCTTCCTGTCAGCATGCACCTGGTTTAAACCAGGGTGTAGGTGGAGGAGGTGGATGCTTGTCACAAGCCTAATTCTCTGGAGGATTCACGAGTCTGGAAAAAAAAAATCACAGGCTTGATTGAGGGGACTCATTTTGCTACTTTTTTCCCCCAGCTGCTAAGCCAAGCTGACAAAACTTTTAAGAAAGGATTTTTACAGAAACACACCCGTAAATGACATTTTCAAGAATTAAATAGACAGTTGCAAGGAGAGTGCCATAAAACATCTTCCTTGCAGTTCTCCAGGGAGGGTGTGCTGCGTAGGATTCAAACCCACAGCTGGCAATAAAATGTAGGTTCTCAAAACAAGCAAGGGAAAGAAGCCGGAGGTTCGTGAGAGCCTAGTGCGTGCGGGAATCATGGAGAGCCTGCTGGGGGTATGGGGTCATCTGCCACATTCCCAGTGCAGCTACATGAGCCCCTAAAAATGATCAGAGTGGGAGGACGAAATGCAACGAGGGGATGGGACAGCAGCTTTTTGATGAACGCACATATGTGGCTGAAATCTTCAACTCCACAGGCTGCATGGGAGTGTCAGGGTGACTCAGTTCATAAAAATGTATATCAACTCTATTGTGTGCTTAGAACTGTGAGACCCCAAAAGGAGTGAGGACACCCTGCCAAACCACAGCCAGTAGTGGTGGGGGGAGATGCCAGATGCGGGGAGGGATGGTTCCGGAAGCTGGGAGCCG